TCTCTAGATTTTAGGCTACCAATTAGATCGTCCAGACGTAGAGATGATGTGTCTTTGGCCTCCTCAATAGCAGTAACTGTCATGCTGAATCTTTCTAGAAGAGTTCTCAATACCTTATTCACCAGTGTCTCGTTGCTCAAAGGACCACCTAAGGATTGAAATTCATTAGCTAAATCGATCAGTTTCTCATTGTACTGAGAAATTGTTTCAGTTTCTTCCATCCTTAGTCTCTCAAATTTGGAAGAAAGTAATCTGAGCTTCGTTCTTCTGACACTGTCTGATCATTCACAATGTAGCTGAAGAACCTCCCATGCATCCTTCGCAGAAGTGCATACTGAAATTAATTTAAACATTGTTAAATCTACTGAATTAAATATTGCATTTAGCGCCTTTGAGTTTTGATTGGCATTTGATAGATCGTCTGCTGTCCACCGTAATTCTGGTGTTGGAAACACATCTCCATCCGCATCTGTGATTGTTGGTGGCTTCCATCCAGTAAGAATAGATCTCCAGGCTCTCTCATCAATGGCTTTGATGTACGCCCTCATCTTGACTTTCCAGTAGGTGTAGTTTGTGCCATCAAGTACAGGAGGTCGCATAGAAGCAGTCATCTGAGTATCCATCACGAATTCGTTTCTGTAAAGAAAATAGGAACAAACACTTAGTATACGTCAAGTGTTGGCTCTGATACCAATTGAAAGAATTTATGGTTCCGAATTCGTTTAATAAAGAGATGTTGTCTTAAGTGTTATGACACTTAAATAAACATGCAGCGGAAAAATAACTATATAAAGACAATACTCAGATATTAAAATGTTCACAAGTAAAAACTTGTGAACTTGCTCTTTACAGGACGTAAAAATTATATTAAACAAACAGTATTCCAAGAATACAAATGGAAGATGTACGAAAACTTCTTCCCTATGAATGAATCATTCTCATGATCATTCTTACATTCAAATCTAGAAACAAAAAGAGAAATATTAAAAATTCTAGATTTCAAATAATGTACTCGTAAGGAGTACGTACAATAGATCATAGAAACACACTAAAAACTCTCGTGGATAAACTTCACCACTCGTTTTTTGTTTCTTTGAATCTACACTTTTCTTGAGTCTTGAGTTTGGTATTTATAAACTTTCCAAGCTTCCACTACTCAGCCCATGATATGCAAGAAAATCAACCACAAGAGCACTCAAGATAATGGGTTAGTGGGTTAGTTAATAAGTTAGAAAGATATCCATAATAAAACCCACTAAGCACTACTTAGCCCACTAAGTCATAACACTTAGCCCACTAATTCATAACTAAAATTTAGTTTGAAATTAATAAAGTTAAAAACACTTATGTGGAAAAATCCACGTGTTTCAAACATTATGGGTATAAAAGTACTATACTAATCTATCGGCCACTTTAATGATGAATAATTACATTGTAATGGCTTGTATGCATATAAGATTAATTCCAATAATTACAAACCAATACATGGTTAATTAACAAAAAATGGCTTAAAAGAATATACCACAAAATCCGAACATAACCTCATCTCGCAACACCTGAGTTTAATAATAGACCAGAGTTTAATAATAATCTGCTAAAAATCATGGCAAGCAGAAGTAACGCGGCAACAAAGCGAAGAAAATTTGCGAGATGGCATGGATCGAAACTTATGTTTAATCACTTTGGTCATTTATTTTTAAAAGACATTATTACGGGTTCTTAGCCACTGATTAATATTGGTTACGATGCCACTATCCGTGCTTATGATCAACAACTTTTGAATGTTACTCCATTCCGTTGTGTGCTCCGTATTCATTTAATTGGTGCACATTGGTTATGAATATGTTATAATAGTTGGTCAAGTGTGTTATGTGAAATCTATAAAAATGTAAATAAGAAAATATAAATGCATTGCAATGTATAAAAGTTTGTGAGATGGTATAAAATAAATTTATGCTAAAATAATACATGTTAATTTAATCAGTTTACCGTAAATAGATAAATGTATGAATATTAATGATATTAACAAAACATGTTCGAATGAAAAACTTTAATATTATTAAATTCATATGCCCATAACAATCGGAAAGCAATTATTGCAAACTCAAGTCATAAAATAATATCCAAAATATGAAAAAAAAAACTAAATCCAAAAATCAAAAACATCATAATGAAATTATAAGTCTAACGTGAAAAACCAATATAGTACCAAATGCATATAATGGTGAAAATGGTAAAGTTAGGTCATCTAAAATTTCATTATTTGAACTTATGAATCTAATAACATAGTACCAATTGTTTTTATTATTTCAATCACATAAAAAATATAGGGAATATTAGTCAAAACATAAACTTAAATATTTGATCTAAGTATATAGTGTTGTTTCCATACGAAGTTGTCGTGATTAATATATAAATAATATTTTTGACATGATTTCAATTATTTTATAAAAAAAGAAGAAAAAATACATATAAATAAATGAAATAAAACGACCTGAAATAGCGGAATCGTTTATACATTAAAAAAATTCACGTAACAAAATTTAATACAAATCTATTTAAAACACAAAAAAATAAATATAAATGTATCACTTCGATCACGTTCTTTGTTGGGATGAACTTGAACGAATATATCTTCCCCGCATCAATAGCACTTCAACCTTTGATATTCCAGACTAAGTTTTGTTTTCTAATTAATAAATTCTATGCTACAAATTAATTAAATAAACGTTAAACAAAAACACGGTAAATAATATATTCATTATATAATACATTAAAAATAATAATATTAATACGCATATTACCAACCTTTTGATTTCATTAGAGGAAACGGATTTTCTTTTATATTCGCGTTGTTGATCTCAAAAAAATACATCTTCTAGTTCATCTTCAAAAAATACAAACAAAAAAAAATATTTTGTTGGATGAATATACCTTCAAATAGGTAAATAGGCTTATAATAAATGATAATATGAAAATAATTAAATGAAATATGCATAAACATAATATAAATTGGGGGAAAAAAGAGAAAAAAAAAACAGCAAAAAAAAAAAGAAAAACAAAGGTTCGAAGAATGGATTACAAAGATTTTTAGTTTCGAGTGAGTGCCGCAAATGTTGAGGGAGGGGACAAATGACGTAAGAGGTGGGCAATTATACTTGTGGCGAATATCTTAATAAGGTAAATTTTGTGAATGAGGAAATAAATATCAATTGTAATAATTTTAGTATATTAGCGAAATTAGATTCAAAATCGGATATTGAAAAATGGAAATAAAATAAAGATTTATGATATTATTAGTTATTACCATCCCATATTAAATCCTTCACATTTACAATTCAATGTATTTAAAGCATACTATTTATACTATCGGATTTAAAAACATTAATTTTCAAATTATTTTTGTGAAATTCTATAAATACAATATATTTAAAGGATTGATACTAAAAAAGGCATAAAAATACAAAAATATAAACATAATATAAAATAATTGAATATCCATACATAAAAACAATGATTTTTCTGATTTAAAAAAAAAATATAGACTGAAAATATAATTCGAAAAATATAAAATATTAAAAAGATAATATTTTTAGAATTTAATATATATATATATATATATATGGACATTTATATAAATGGAGTAATAGTAGAAGTCATTAACAAAAATGGTGTCTTTTTTATCGAATTTATAAAAGTGGCGTAAAACTCCACTCCTAGAGGCGATTTCTGGCATCCTAGGGAATTGTGCCTAAAGAAGTCTGATGATTAACGGGTGAGATTGAGAGGAAAAAAATGAACGATCGAGATGGCTGTGTAGAAAAAAGAGCTAATAGCACAGACCCCCCTGTGTTATTTCTAATTGGTGAAAAACACCTCGTGTTAAAAATATTAGCAAAAAACCCCCTATATAGTGTTTTGCAAAGCACACCAGCCCCTATTTCGAAATTGAATGTTGACTTCTATGAAATGACTGAACTACCCCTTACAAAAGAAATATTAAAAAAAAAAAAAAACCCTAACAAAACGCTAAAATCAATTGCAACAAAACCCAACCCATGTCTTCTTTTCCAACGCTACGGAAAAATAATGTCCATACCTCATATCTTGCCACAATCAAATCTCGGCTGACAGGGAAGATATACAGTATGAAACCACCTCTTCCACTCTCTGGCGAGCGGTCCAACAGTACCGTCGAGATAGATGGGCGGGGAAAGAATTTCGAGAATTTGGAGGTGGAGGGTCAGGGTGTCTGTGGCGTGGCGAGAAGAGCGAAGGAGGCGGGTGGTAGAAGAAAGGGGCACCGGCGTGAAAAGGGGATTGCCGGAGGTGGTATTGTGAGTTTGGTGGTGGTGGTAATTTCAATGGGGAAGAAGAATAATTTTAGGGAGGACATGTTCTTTCTCTCTGTTGGAGGCGGTAGCTTGACGAGGTGATTGCCGGTGGTGGTGGTGGTGTGCAGGTGGTCCCGCACTCTCGCTTCAACAGGGGGAAGAAATTTTGGGGAAGATCAATTTCTCTCTGTTCTTTTACATAAAAATATATGTTATTTTTTTTATTTAAGAAATTTTAAAAATTGCAATTTGATCCAAATTTTTGGGTTATTTATATTTAAATAAAATTGGAATTTTTCTTTCTTTTAAAAAAAATTCAGAGGGTATTTCCGAGTTTTCAAGTAAAAATACACATTCCTACTCGCACTATTCGCGCGTGCAATGTACGTTGAGCTGTTAG